AGCGGGATGAGTTCGTGGGCCAGGGCAGCGACAGCACTGGGCCCACCTACAGTGAATTTGTCATTTCCAGTTCTAAACGTGCAGACAAACACTGAATCAGTCGTGCCCGAGGGCCTGGGATAGGGACTGGGGATACGGAATAAGGGGGTTCAGGGAATCGGGAGTCGGGAAAGGCAGAATTCCGAACAGAGCAACCAGGAGATGGAACACGGAAACCCGAGCCAAGCTGTGCCTGCTCAATGACGATTCAGTTTGCGTTGCTCCTAGAGATGATTGCGTGATGTGTGTCGCATGCGTTTCTTGGTTTAGTCTCAATTAATTTTGTTTTATTAAAAACATTAGACTTTGTTAAAGAGGGAAATGTAACGCAAACAAAAAAAATTACAACAAACATTATTTGAAGGAATAAAACTTTTAATAAAATTAAGCAAACCAAAATTGTTATATTTGTTTTAATTTTTATACTTGTTTATACAAAAGTTTAATATTTTATTTTAATACTTTTATTCTGCCTCTTAATATTAACTATGTTGAAAATTCATCAATGATCGCTGATAAACTGATGCTTGTGAACAATTTAAATGCAATACCTTTTTCTGAATATTTAAAATTCTAAACATTACAAAGCTCACGGTTGCTGTTCAATCACGCGGGTGTTTTACTCGTATTCAGCACTTTGGCACTGTTGTCCGCCGCAATTCCACAGGACTGAAGCCAGGACTCTGCTCGAGGACGAGGACGAGGACAAGAGCACAGTGCGTGTCGCTTTAACAAACCGGAAGCTACATGCGATGTAATGAAAAAGGACAGGGCGGAAGTCACAGTGGGGCTACCCAGGCCGGTTCGCCAGGGGAGGCTCGAAATCAGGAGTGCGGACTGGCCCTATCCGAATGAGTTTGCTTTAACGCTGCTGGTATTTATAGACAATTGGTTCGTGATTGTTGACAGCGCTCAGCGTCCCGCTGAACTCTCCACGGAAGCAGCCATCCACCGACGACCATTGACCATCCACCATCGCCACTCGAATCGAATCGAATTGACTCGGCTCGACTCGACTCGACTCTGCAATGGCAATTTTTTGCATGCGCCATAAAAATGGTACGAAATATGGTTGGTTGTGGGCCGAAACGAGTTGGAACCAGATGAGTGGGCTTAAGTGAATGGTTGTGCAGTGCATGCAGGAAATAGCGGGCAGTTTCCCATTTAGGCAATTGAGTTAGGCCCCACAGCCCGGGGATAAATCAGAGAAATCTGCCAAGGATTTTAGTACAAAACTGTACACTTAACACGAAAAATATACCTATTTTAAATGGAGTTTGAGTAAATAGCAAAAAACGTTTGAATAATTTTGCAAATCTATTCAGCCAAGAAAAATTGTGTCAACTTATGAAGCAAGTTGTGTTTTACTTTCAGTCTCAAAACATTACAGCCCAACAAAATTGTCGTGTGGAAAACTTATCGCAGTTTTTGGTAATTTTTCTTTCCACGCTTTAACAATAAATATGACGGATGATAGTGAGAAAAACTCGAATAGTTCGGCAGCTAATAACCTGCTAAACAATGAATCGTTTTGCGAAATAAGCAGCAGCTCTTTGGACGCTGGTAACGAATCAGGCATCTTAGAACTGGAGCAAATGGTGGCAAAGATCTTGGAAAAGATTAAGGCAATTTCCCACCAAGGCGACCTTAATGTAAACGACTTGATGGATGTGATAATGCCAAAAATTAGGAACGAAATGTTTGATCTTGAAAAAGTGTACAAGGAGGTTCGGAATATACAAGAATCCCTGGATAGATATCTGCAGCAGGCGCAAACAGTGGATCAGGATATAGCTGATATGTTCTTAGATTTGCACAACATATATGGGAAACTAGAAAAATTAGATGACAGTGGCAGGAAGCTAAGCAGCCAAAAAAGAGCCAAGCTGTTAAGACATGCCAAAGAAGCTGAGGAGATGCAGAATCGTTCGCGGCATTATCTTACAAACGATCCCAAAGAGATGAGTGCCGAGCTTGTTGGTCCGCCAAGGGAAGCCCCATCAAACCCAAAGGTATGTGGCCGTTTGCCAAAACCAAAAACTCCAGCTAACGATCGATTTCAAGGGGAACTAGGCCCATTTGGAGAACCCTATGAAAGTAGTGGTGTGAACCCTTCCAAGGAACTTACCGAGAAGAGAATGTTTCTCACCAACATGATAGCATTCAAGAAATCGGACTGTACGCTTCAACTCAACCGCCACAAAACATACTTCAGTGAAGCCAAGGAGGCAATAAATAGTAATAGTAACAAATAAATTTGGACTTTACTTTAAACAAATAATTCAGAACAAATTTATATATAAAATAAATGTCACTCTTATAGCATTCTTCCCAAAGAAACACTTAATCATTATCCCGATTACCTCACTTAACTCAAAATAACCTGCAGACCTTTCCATTCCATTTTTTCAATTGCTCGTAACACTTGGTCCCCAGTTGCTTTGTTATTTTTCTGTTTGTTCTTTCGATGGCTTTGTAAACAAAGCAAAGTGCAAATTTATGTGGTAAACCACTTGAAATCGAAACATTTTTGCCATCAGAGGAGATGCCCTGAATGCAGAGCTTTGATTGTTACTTAAAATGTATCTTGAACTGTATATCTGTATCTCAATTTGCCCCCACCGAATCCGAATCCGAATTCGAATCCGAACCCGCAACTGTTGTGCAAATGTAAATGTTGGCAAAGTGGCAAGTCAGGTGGTTGGATGTTACTCTCTTTTCCATTCCATTAGCCTCAAGTTAAAGCTTTGGCTCAGCTGATGATTGTTAAAGTCGAAATTTGCATTTGATTTGGGGGCTAAGAGATATGTCTTGGCTGGATGTGAAATTGTGTGAAAGTTGGGTTTAATTTGTAGTTCGTTTGCCTACTTTAATTCAAAACCCCTTCACATTTTGATATATAGCTGAGCTATTTCCATGTTATTGTGGCGCCAAAAACGGGGTTAATTCGATCAATTCGTCAATCGGTGTGTGGTAGTTCCTAATTGATTTGAGCAAATGCTGCAAACGAGATTAATTAATGAGAGGAAAACCAAAGCCCAAATGGCCAATGCCAAAGCACCCGAACTAAACGGACAATTCAAATTGTGTCTATGCCGATTCAGAGCAGAGCTTCATCCTAAATTGGGTTGTCTTTTTTTTTTTTACTGCAGCATGTTGTGTGCACTGAAAATAATAGAGCGAAAGAGGGCGCAAATACGACAAAGGGACAATACGCAAACGGAAAATTGTAAACTGAAAACTGAATGCTTGGAAGGAGGATCCAAGGATCTCTGACTGCTGCAGCCAGTGTTATGGCAGCGTTTACTCAATTTTAGTACGTAGTAAACGTATTTCTTTTATGGCCCCGTAGGTTATTTGTGCATCGCTCTGACTCGCTGGCATGGTCTACATTCCGGGATGCGAGCGTACTCAGACAAACAATTCAGAAAAGATATATATCCCTGACACAATAAACGAAGTTCGTTTCCTGAGTGGCCATTTTACTGCGAGGCCTTTCAGTTGGAGTGCCCGTGCCCCATCCCTACCATCCAGACCATCCAGACCATCCTTACCAGCCACTCAACCCCTATCTTGGGGCCAGAACTAAGCAAATATTCGCACACAAATATGATGAAGTATCGGGGGACGGGAGACTGGGTGGGTGGTTGTGGATATGGATGTGGTTGTGAATGTGGATATGTTTGTATTCCTGCTTCTGGTTTGCTTTTAATTGCTTTCAAGTAAACAGAATGCCCCTTGGTAAATGGGAACATAAATATAATTGACAGGTTCGCATGGCTCGCATTGCTTTAAAATTTCCACTCTCGAGGCCATATGTGCCAGAGTCAAACATTTGCCTGTCCAGCTTTCCTTCCACTTGCTAGTTTGCTAGTGGCTTCGTTGGGCCTGCCACTGCCGAAGGTGTTATTTAATTTAATGCCATGATTTGACAGATTACATATTTACCACCCTGATTGTTGTGGTCGCTGCTGCTGGGGCCTTTGATTTGATCACTAAACTCGTTAACACAATTAACCGAAAATCAAATGAGAAACACACAAGCCCTAAGACCAACACGGAGTCATGCATTATAACTTGTTGTTTCTAAATTGGGTGGGTCTTTTTAATCGAAATGTTGTAGTTACTTCTCTGGCTCATTTCAGCATTTACTATCTATGCATTTCACAAATATAAAGATAAAATTAGTTTATAATGAGTAAAAACAGTGTAACTTTTTCGATCATTTTTTTAAAGAATTTAAATCAATTTATGGTATTTTAATGTGCATATAATGCAAATCATTTTTGTTGCATTGTGTTATTTACATAGCTGGCAACCCGCAGTGTGAATGACTTTTTTTTAAATGCTTACTCCCTTTTTTGTAGTGGAATCGACTTTAGGAGAGGGTTGGTCAAGTGCCAGCTGCATTAGGCCATAAATTTGCCAAAAAGTAAACAGTAAACATTTTATTGTTGTTCTTCAGCGCACCCAACACACCCTCGTTCGACTGTTTTAAATAATTATTTAACATTTTACATTGTTTAGCTCGCGATTTTCGTGTCGCCATGCGGGTGCGCTCGATGCAGAGGGGCGGCTTTTGTTTGTTGTAAAGATTTGCACGATTTGCATTTGTGCCAAAACGATTCATGAATGATTCATGTGCGCCAGACCAGAAGCAGATGTCGACAATACTCATCCCACTTCGATTTATGCATCGGGCACGTGCCAATGGTTTGGCGGCGATGACGGTGGGGTTTTTAAAGGATTTCCACTGTGTGGAAAGAGGTGGAGAAATGCGTACTTCTTTACCGAGTTTAAAGGGATTCCATTTTCCCCCGGGACTCATTTATAAGATTGCCATTTTGTGAATCTCAGACTAAGCTTTTCAATGAACCCGCATTTCCCTTGCTGACCAAGGAAATATATATATATATATTATTTTAATTTATCTCTTTTCAAATCTGAAATTTTTGCTAAGCAGTAAGGTCAGATTTGTTTTGCTTTTTATTTCAACACTTAATCCAACAACTCCAAATCACAGCCAGAAAATGCCGGTAAGTTTTCTTAAATCACTACTTTTTTCCCACTTTAATTAATCTCTTTACACCAGACCACAGCCAAAAAGTCTTTGGAGTACAGTGAAAAGATCAAAACTAGAAAATTTCAGCAGCAAGCGACTTGCAAAGTCAGCCATGGCCTATCTCGTAAGACATCGCTCATAGTTGTTGGTCAAAGGATAAAGAGTCGAAAATTCAAGCAGAGAGCTGCTAAAAAAACTGTCTGGTTGAACGCCAAAGGCAAAATCATTGCAGTTGAAATCAAACACATTGATACTTTGGGAATTGACATGAACAATTTCTTTACTCCAAAGGCATCAAAGGCTCTGACCGAAGCCAATACATCTAATGCTGGCGTGGATAAATTAATACCTCTGCAGTCGGAACCCACGCTTAATAAGTGCCATCTCAACAGAAAATCCAGAACGGAGCTTATGATGAACACTTGCATCGTTCAGCCCATTGAAAAGAGCGATATAACCAAGCTTAAAAACTCTCCTAAAAGACCTAAAGCGTCTGCCAAATACAGAGTTCAAAAACCAAATTTTGGAAAACTGGCATTAAAAGCTTCCCGTGGCAAAACCAATAGAAAATCATACGAAAGACGGCACATTGAGTATCCAGAATGTGATGATCTGACACTGATCGATTTTGATGCTATAGTTCCTAAGCCTAGTTATGATTCAGGCCATTGTGGTAGTAACGAGACATCATATGAAAATGTAGGGGAAAGAACAATGTTTGAATCTAAACAAAATGAAGAGCAGGCTTGCTGCTCAAAAAACATAAATACTAAGAGAATTCACTCGGAAGATGGGCTTGGCCCAGATAAGGATATCCCGATTATTTTGGAAAAATACGCTTATTTAGAAGAAAATGATTCAGTCCACATAGATCATTTTCTTAGGGAAGGTCGCTTTGATAAAGAGAATGCAAAAGCGATTCGTTTGGAAGATTCAACTAGCTTAGAGAATGCAAAGAGGAGATTTAAGCTAAGTCCAAGCCGTCCTTCACCCGGAAAAAAGTTGAAAAGGTCAAAACATTTTCCAGTTGAGAAAAATGTCCAACAGCTCAAAAATATTTATAAGGGAAAAGCATCAGTTATTGGTTATCAATTGGAGCCGCCCCACTCTAGAGTGGCTATTGTTGGTCCGCGTCCCTCAACTTCAAATCGTTCTAGGTGCCGATGTAAACATTTTAATCAGGTTGACTATGTTCTTGCTGATTATCCGATGCCCAACAGAGTGATTTATATTCAAAGACCCGAACAAGGACCAGCTTTTGGGAGCACCGGGGCTGATCATATTTTTCCATCGCAGGCATACTTGGCCAGCCTGAATCTGCGTACAGTGGCCGCTTCAAGGGACGAGAATATAGGTCGGGTTATGGCAGAGCGCACTAGGATTTCGAGGGATCATGCTCCCCGGTTGGTCGAGAATTCGATACCAGCGAGAGATTGGACCCAAATTGCTTTTTCTTTTTTTTTCTTTTTAATGTTAATAACGGGATTTTGCCTAATTTTGTATTCATATTATTATGAGCAAACAAGACCTCTAACGCTTTGGGAGAAATTTGTTCTACTTATTAATATATTTTCCACTAAAAAAATCTAAAAGCGAGCTCTTTAATGTAAGAATTTTTATTTCCCAGATTTTTTAAGTTAAACATATAAAAAGAAGTGAAAATAATACAATTGGCATTGTGTTGTCTCTTCGGTTGTTGATTTTTTTTGTGTTTTTTTAAGATATTGATAAGAAATGAACTACTAGTTTCAGTGATATTTTTTCTCATTCGATAACGCACGCTGTAAAAATAATGGATATTCACATCGTCATCCAATGCTAGTGTCCTAAAAACAAGCTATTTAAATATTTAGTACCAAGTCGATTACCCCCGCCCACTTCTTTCCCAAAAATCCCCAAGTCGAGATGAAGATGGAGTTGGCAGCAACAACAGCCTGGCTGACAGAAAATCACGCCAGTCAGCGCCAGCAAATGCAAATTTAATGGTCTATGAAAAAGGTAGCCGGGCAAATGCTTTTAACCACATCCGCTGCTATTAGTTCACCAACGGAACCGTTGCTAAACAACGAGAGCGACGGATAACAATGGAAAATGACGCCAGTGGAAATACGAAAATCAATGCGCATTAGTGGATGGTGTTATTTCATCTTATTCTGTTGGAGAATTGGCAATATTCCTCCGCCACCATCGCTTAAATATTACATTAGCCGAAGCGGATGTGAAAATCAAGCTCCACCGCAGGAGCTAGCAGTCGATTGAACATCAAAATGTCTGAGTATCTGATGTCACGAACCTTTGAATTTAAGCTGGAATAGAAGTAATAAAGTATTTTGATATTAAGGCCTTAGTAGGGTTTTCAATAGTTATAGTTTGGAAATATGCATTGGACAATTGCTACCTGGTAAGTATAAACAATACCTAAAAGGTAAATTATGTCCACTGGTATAGAATAAAAAATTAGATCAAGGAGTATTCCAAAAAATCTAAATAAAATGGAATAAAAAAAGCTCTCGAAATTGATTTTTAATGTGCAAATAAAATAAATATAAATGCCTACAGTTTAAAATGGCAAAACATAGAAATGTCTGTGTAAGCGATCCATCTCTTTTATTTGTTGTTCAAAGTACTGAAAGAAGAATCATATTTGTTATTTTGAAAAAGAATTTTGAAAAAACAAGCGTGGAGTGAAGTGCAACCAACCATTTTGAGAGTGAAACCGACAAAGTTAAGCCCTCGTCATGGGTTTGTTTTGGGCGCAGCAATCAAAGAAGATAGATGTGTGTCTAACCGACATTTACGGTAATTGTACTGCTTATTTTCGCCCAGATCGCCAAACTGGCAGTAACCGCAGTCAAATATGAGCAATGGCCCGGATCACACGCGCCCAAACAAATGCTGACTGGTCTCGTCAGCTGCAATCTGCAGAGGGGATTTGTTTGTGTCGCTTTTTCTTTTGGCATTTCCTGCCGTGTCCTGCCATTCGTGCATGCAATCCAAAACACATAGATACAAGCACTCACTCACACATTTACACACTAACAGCCAGGACAACCACACGCACACACACAAGCACATACTAGCACTCATTGAGGGGCAATGCATTCAAGCGCAAATTAAGCTTGACAAGCAAAAATTAAACTGTGTTTCTGTGTGGCAGGCAGGGTGTATCTGTATCTGTAGGTGTATCTGTATCTGCTAGATACATTCGGCTCTCAGTGTGTTGTGCGCCTCGCCATGCTTGTTGGGCAAAATATAATTTCTTCATGTTCAGTTCATTAAACAGAGCAAACCAACTTGGAAAAGCACTTACCATGAATGGATTTTAAGGGGCCCGAACAGCAATACAGTTGACGGAAAGCCAACGAAGGCGAGAGAAATGGTCCACCGTTCAAATAAATATGCAAATCGCAAAGTGGAACGATACAAATGAATTCGAAACATCTCTGCAGCTCTAAATGAACTATTTGTGTTTGTCTGTTTTGCATTTATTTGTTTCATTCAAAGACGTAGATTTTCTTGCTGCAAGAGAAGATAACCAATTTATTCCTTTCCAATTTAAATAAATCTTTTATACTTTCTACTATTAAAAAAATAAAAAGTACCAATAAAAATAATAAAAGCATAAACAAAATCATTCTTACATTTTGGATTATATACACTTTATCATAATATTAAGAGTATTGACAAACCTAAATGATTTATTTTATAACTTGCAACATTTTTTATTTAAGGGTAGACGTAAAAAAATGTTTTATAATCTTCAATCTCAAGTCAACGCTCTTCTTGAATATTATTTCCCAATTTTCAACAAGATTATAAAATATGACAATGGCAATAAATCATAAATAAGAATACTTGTAGCGCTAGGATAATAATAATAAAATAAGGAATATAATGAAAAGAGTGAGTTATAGTGCCGCTGATTATGCTCAATCTCTCTGAGTCTGAGCATAGATAAATTGTTGTCCAAATAATCTTGAAACAAAGGATACATAAATTCATGATACCAAAAAAAAATGCTCTGCAGTGGGATATAATCTTGGATATTACTTTTTGGTTGGCCGAGGGAATGACAAAGCATTAGCCATTGTACCGAGTTAGTGGCGTCAAATCACTTAAACGAAACCGAGACAAAGGCCAAGTCCCCGGCGCAAAAAATCTGAAAAACCGATTGGCATGGTCAAAAGCAATTCCCCACGATGACAGCCACAAAATGATGAACTCTGTTTTTGAGGTCGGTTGCCAAATCAGGGACTTCTTCTACATAATGTGCGTTGCTATATATATATATATATGTTTATGTTTCTTATTTTAGCAATTTGATACTGCGTCGCATTAGCTTTGACATTCGCATGATTATGACTCTTGAGAGGTTTCCCCGCCTTCTCTACTGCTCTTCATGACTTTTGCACTTTGGGGAAGTTGATGAAATTAATATTAGGCAGTGCTGAAGACGCTCCTCAGCAGAAATGGCCAACTCATGCACTGCTTTCTTATCAGTGGCGAGCTATTGATAGGCAAAACTCAATACTGAGTGCATGACTCTGAGCCCGTATAAATAGCCAATGACGTGGGATGGTTATTTATGGTTTTTCTTCGATGAAGCATAAGCATGAGTTGGGGTCTTAGGGTTATATTGAAGGCATATCAAATAAATATATTTTAGCCCTCTTGGTCTGCATTAAGTTTCAGGTATTTCAATTGATTCTCTTCACCTCAATTCCAAATTATAAGCAACGCATTGAAGATGTCTGAATCGCATTGGCCTGATTACACCAAGTCAAACGAAAAATTTCCCATCTGGCATAAGCCTGTGTAAATACTCACTACTCAAATGCTATCTATATGCAATCAGCAAATATGTGCTCAAGGAACACGAGCCCAGCATTACAAAGCCCATAACGAGAGCATCTCTATATCATCTCCATCGCCCCATCGCCCCATCGGCCCATCTTGTCAATGCATTATGCAGGCACTTTTGCAGGCAAGTGGAAATTATGTCAAAACAAAACGTGCAAGTCAAGTCACTCGTTAGTCTGAGAGGCATTTCAATTAAGGCTCGCAATGTGGAAGACGGCGAAGGAACACATCCAGAAAAATACACAGAAATGAGTATTGCGAGCACAACAGTTCAACTAATACGATATGCAACGACGGAGGAGTGAAATGCTCAGTTGCACGAGGTGAAGAGATGAAAAGGGTGGATGGGTACTCACTCAAAGACCTCTGGGCTGCTATTTATCAGGATCCAGCAATCTGCGAGTTTCAACGCTGAACGATCACTCTAATTAACAGATTAGATTAGCTAAGGTAGGCACTTGGTACACAGACAGTTGTTTAAAGGCTCAAATTGTTCATTTTAAATATTTAAGTTGTACCAGTAATTGAAGCTATTATAGAAAGTAAAAGGAAATCAATCAAATTACAACAGAGGCATATATTTTCTACACAGTTTTTTTTTAAATTAAATATATTTCCTATATTTTAATGCTTATATATGGGAATTAGAAAATAATTAACTAATTCATAGAATTCTTTTTACCAAGAGGTCTTTCTTTTGACATAAGTAAGGTTTTACAGGCATAAGCCCAGAACTTTGAAAATTATTAACCAAAATTTTCTAATGAAGGGTATTTGCGTTCGCTTGTGATATTTTATTTGATTCATCTCGCTCTGCATTCGAATTTCTTTCTTTCAGTTTTTCTGTGCATATGTCTGCACAGCATTTGTAAGGATTTTCCATGTCTCCCCTCCTTTGGCAATGTGACTGTGGGGATGAGCTTTGCGAGACGACTTCATTCATTCATTCAAAAAAAGTTAATTCATAAATCGCACAAAGCGCGCTGATACGAAAGACGCCCACATGGCAGCCCTTATTGCAATGTAAAATGCATTTAGTCGGTAAGATAGAGGGAAGGTTGGATGCGCCAGTTAGACCGCTCTCGCTTTGGCTCCTGTTCAAATAAAAGATTTCTATCAGGTGGCTCTTATGGCGCATAAAAGTACTTAAATTTGTTTGACTTTTGGCCAGATGCGGGCGAATGGAAGGGGGCGTGGCCGTTTGTTTTGCCTCGCTATGCGAAATTGCTAAGGCAACCCTCGCAATTTGTTTAATACTTCACCCATCGCCGAACACGGCGACAGAATCGTTTTGTTTGCGAATGCGTTTAGCGAGATTGTTGCGCTCCGATATGGGATATGCTTACTAAATCAGAAATGTATATATGTTCAGATCTGCACGACATTATCGAGGGTTGCCGCAGGGAAATTAAGATAATAGCGGTTTTCAAATGAACTTAGACTGGAGTTGTGGTAGATAGGCAATTTTTATTTTAAAACACCAAAATTTTAGGTTTCTTATAAAACATATAAAATTGGTGGAAAATTTGTATTATTTATAAAATTTATAAAATTTTTTCTGTTTTTTTTTTGATGCAGTAGGAAGAGTTAAAATATATGTCTGAAAAAATCTTCCTTGCACCAATTATTAAAAAGTCGTTCATTTTACTTATTTATTTTACCGGAATATGGATTTTAAACACACAATAAAATGTAATACAACTTTTATTCAATGACAAAAAAACGTAAAAGGCTATCGAATTAAAAGAAAGAAATATG